TTGTATTTCTAAAAACTTAAAGTTTTCTTTAAACAGATACCTGATTGTCACTACATGTTTCTGAGGCTTTTTTATTAGGAAAAATTTCAAACATACAAAAATAGAATAGTATAATAAGTCCCAGTGTAACCAATGCATGGTTCCATGAATTACCAATTCATGGCCAAGCTAATTCCATCTATATCCCCACTCACTTTATTTTAAAGCAAATCCCAGATATCACATCATTTTGCTATAACTTACTTTTACTTACAAAGTAATAATTAAATTTTTTGATGCAATTTCCATCACAATAGGATTTTTACTGATGAAGAAAACTGAAGTCAAAGAGATATCAAGCAATGATTTAAAACAGAAGTATAATTCAAGAATATTGCAATCCATTCATGCAACAGATTTGTCAAGCTAGTGGTCTCCTTAGTTTAAACATTTTCCTTCTGTTCTCTATGTACAGACAAGGAAAGTTTCCCAGGTTATCTTAAAAGCAAGAAACAAGGTGCAGGACAGTGTAAGAAAGTCACAAGTAAGTAAGCATTTTGACATTTGCTTGCATATGCACAAAACACTGGAAGGATGCACAATAAGATAATGAAAATGGTTAATTATGGAAGGGATATGGGGTGGATGGGGAGGGAAAGGACTAGGATTTTTTAATCTATACATTCTTATATTTTTATTTTCGGGTCATCTGTGTTTTATGTTTTAAAAATAAATAGAATATTTTCTTCTAAAATGCTATTTCATGCAAAGATATTTGATATCTGTATATCAAAGGATATAGGTTATTCCTATGATCAAGTCAGTTTGAAAGTATTATAAGCTGAAAACCAAAACCGTTGTCAATTGGACAAATAGCTAAGTAATTTTTAAAAATTACCTGCCTTTGATCTCATCTCTTTCTGCTGTAGGTTTAATCGTTATAGTGCAATTAAAATTTAAAAACATGTATGGCTTAAGTGCGCCTTGCTAGCTCTCAGACTTTATGGTCTCTCTTTTTGCTCAGACCTCTCCTTCCCACAGCTCAACAAACAAGGGCTTCAGTTTCCAGTTTTGTTTGCTCGGCTTAGCTCAGCCAGTTCTACCAGTTTCTGTTCCCGCTTCTTCCTCAGAATCTAAAGTGATAACACTTCTCATGTGTCATCCATGATTCTATTTAGGTATTGTTGATGGGGTCTAAAAAGGAGCATGTCCAGAAGGATGGAATTCAGGCAAAGTGAGTCCCAGGGAGACCTGTGTACTCTTCCTCTCAGCTCAAGACTCAACTGATGCTCATCTCACGAGAGCAGTTGCTCCTCAAGTCTGGGGTTCAGAGTAGTTTAGTTCACATACCGTTTATTAAGCACCTAATGTGTGCCAGACACTATGCTTGGTGCTGGAAATACAGAGATGAAAATATAATTTCTGCCCTAGAAGGTCAGAGTCTGGCAGGGGACACAGGTGAGAAAGAGTTACAATACAAGGCGTTAAGTACTGAGATTGAGGTCAGCAGAATGTGCCACAGTTCAGGTTGGAGAGTGGGCAGAGTGATGGGTGGAGAGAGGAGGCTTCTCAGAAGAACTGATATGCACCAGAGTAAATTGAGGATGAATACGAGTTAGTCAAGTCTTTAATAAGAGCCATAGAGTGGACACAAATGGAAAAATGTGAACAATGGTCCATAATTCTAAAGAATGTTTTGAGTGTGTGGTATGATATATGCTATTACTGGAGGATGAAGTATAAGGCTGGGAGAAGCAGAAGAAGCTACGGATAACACAGGGAATCATCCCCTATCTCATCACACCCTTGGGGATCCTACCACTTTCCAACCCAGAAGCCAGGGGAGGAATTCCCAATATCGTTTTAAGTCCTTAGGGAGAAGACACAGTGTTTGTGTTATTTGGGAAATAAGCATTTCCCCTGAATGCCATGCAGGAGAAAGTTGGATGATGACTATGGCCTTCCACAGCTGGTCAAACTCCATCCTTTCTCTCATTCCTACTGTATTGCCCAGACTTTTGCAGCTGCCTGGCTTGAGGTGGTTGACAGATGAAGGCAGAAACATTCCCAATCACCCCTTGTTGAATGAAAGGTCAGCCTCTCTTTCAGATTCATCAGGCACGGGGTCTGGGAAATTTCCATTGATTTGCAAATATCCCTTGGGTCTTGCAGGAATTATTTTCTCTCCTTCTCTCTCTCTTACAGTTTTATCTCCTCACCATTTGGGTCTCTTTTCCCTAGCAGGCACTGCTGCTAGCTAGGCTCCTGATGTCTGGATCAGTTAATCTTCATTTTGGGGCATCTCTATTGAAAACTGAAGTTGTATGTGAAGGATCCTACCCTTCAACAGAAAGACTCCTTAGAAACCAATGACTTCTTCAGCATTATCCTTCCCTGCACTAAGGCTAATGCCAGGAGCCACAGAGGATGTGGTCTAAAACAGGAAAACTCCCAGTTTGTGCTTAAAATTCATCAGCAGAAAAGTGAAGACTTGGCTTTAAATGGATCATTTTTCAACCATTAAAGACAAAAGGAACCATAAGTAAGTGCATTAAGTCTTTTCATAGATAGATGAATGGTTTAACCCCTCCATATTCACCCTTTGCTTTCCAGCCCCTTGTTATTCTTGTAGTGACATACCTTGGAGCATTGTGAGATCATTGCCCTTCGCTTGAAGTGTGCCTGTTCAAGCCTAAGGCAGTGATCGCATTGCAGAAGACACTCTTTCTACAGGGAGGGAAAGGTGGGCCCTGATCCCTGACCTGACCATGGCCATAAAAAGGGGCCGTATGATGTAGCCTCCTTAGGATCAGAAAGCCCCTTTGTTGACAAGGCAGAAGAACAGCATCTGAGAAATTCTACCTGGGAGGAAAGCACAGAGAAGAAGCAGATTATCCAACTGCTACCTGTTCTTCCAAGTGCTTTGCCCATCCTCAGGAACTCCAAGGATTCTAGGCTATTGTCAGCCTCACAGTACAGGGAATGGGAAGGACTCCAGGATGGAGCAAGACATTGAGTCATAAAAAGGGAAAGAGAATTCTTGTAGGGTGATCTCCACCCTCATGGAAACATCAAGGTCATTCAGAGGTAGGTAGGAGGAATTCCTTCCATATCTGGGATTGGGACTCATCTTCCTCTCACTTAATATGTAGTTAGGTTAGGTTCAGTTCAATAGAAGTATTTCACAGAGAGGCAGAAAGAGTCCCCTTTGAGGTGACCAGTACCATCCCATTCCACTCCACACCTTATATTCTGTGCTTCTGCTCAAATGTACTATGTTCACATGCTGCTCCTTTCCATTAAAAACCCTGTCTTCTCTCCTATCAAATCCATACTAATTTTTTATTATCTATTTTAGGCATCATCTTCCGCCTGAATACTTCTCGTCTCTCTAAGTCTGTTTGGTTCCCTTTCTGTGTGCTCCCTTAGACCCCATGCTTATGTGTGACATTCCACCTGTGACACATGTTAACTTTTCTGTCAGTCTCATTAGGCAGTGAGCTACACGAAGATAGTGACAATGTCTCCTTTATCTCTGAATCACCAAAAATAGCACGTGATACATAGTCAACACAGAGCAAAAGTTGAATTATTTAACTGATAGTAAAGCAATTTCCATAGAAGCTAGAGGGAGATGAGGCTCTGAATTGGAATACCTAGGGAGAAAGACCAGAGAATTGCTTTATCCTTGACAAAAGGTACAAAAATTTTCCTACTCAGGTGAGATTCACAGGTGAGAAATTGTAAGAGCCTAATGTTTGCTAGGAACAAAGACTGCTGTGGTGTCCTAGAGAACAGCAGGGCTGACAAGGAACCGAGGCCTTAAGGTCAGTTCTCATGCTTTGTGTGGCTGAAGGGGATCAGTATTCTCACATCTGAGGCATTTTTTAACAAAGTTTCAGAATATCATGTGTTTGATTCTTGTGATGGTGGTCTTTAGAACTGGAAGGACTTGGATCAAATGGTAAGGACTTAATTTCTGTTTTTATTACTAATTACAGCCAGGAACTCATAATTGTGTCTCTGGCAAGTCATCTAATAGAACCCAAGTTTGTGAAAGGGCCTTGGATTGGTATCACGGATTGAAAAAGATTGAGACACTCATCTTAATATTACCCAGAATACTTAGCTTGAAGGTGACATTAAATAAATAGATGTGGATACCTGACTGATTGAATCAATGTAACTTATCCCTATTATCCCTTTTAAATATGGCATAACTTGGTTTAGACAGGCAAGCACTTTGTGACAAGCTGAGTTCAGTTAGACTCTTAGGATGCTGGGGAATTCTCCATGAAAAGGGTAATTTCATATAATAGGTGTACTAACGGCCTAGATTCCTATGACTCATTCTACAGCCGAGCAGTTGAAGGGCAAACAGGAGCTGGATTCACTGATAGTCTTCCAAGGGAAATGGCAGGCCAAGTCTAGAGTCTGGTGCCCTAACTTACAGTCCAGGGCTGTCTCTACCACGTCATTTGTCAGCTAAGTGATGCAAACTCTTTTAAACTTTTTGCACTATTGTTTCACTTGCTCCTTCTAGCATTTTACAGTGGAGGAGCACAGAGAGGTTAAGTAACTTTTCTAAGGCTACTTGGCTAGTAAGTGGAGTTGCTGGGATTCAAAGCTAGGCAGTCTGGCTCAAGTTCTGATCCTGGTTAAATGGGTATCATATTCTTCACAAAATCATTTTTCGGACATTTTTGCCCAACTCAGATGCTCAATGATACAGTTATTATAATAATGAGGTATTGCAAGTTAAAATGTGAGAATAGGAGATGTGAAGATGGAGGCTCCTGGCATTTTCATACCTAAGTTTTAGCTACCCTTTATGGAAAATCTTCCCCAGCTCTAAAATCAGTTAGATGAGGACATCAGGTCCTTCAGATGTTAATAGGTTGTGTGATTGGAAAAAGGGAGTATGTGTGTCATATAATGGTAAAATAATTTTCAGGATTGTTCTGGAGAAGACCTGTCCTCACCAGGATCATGTTCATGTTGTTGTACAGGTGGGAAAGATAATGGCTCCTGCTGGGAACCAGAGCAGTGGTGTGACTGAGTTCATCCTGGCAGGTTTCCCGAATCTCAACAGCACAAAAGCAGAATTATTTTCTGTCTTCCTCCTTGTCTATCTGCTGACTCTAACAGGCAATGTGTTGATTGTCGGGGTGGTAGGAGCTGATACTCGCCTGCAGACTCCCATGTATTTCTTTCTGGGTAATCTGTCCTGCTTAGAGATCCTGCTCACTTCTGTCATCATTCCCAAGATTCTGAGCAATTTCCTCTCAAGGCAACACACAATTTCTTTTGCTGCGTGCATTACCCAATTCTATTTCTACTTCTTTCTTGGGGCCTCTGAGTTCCTGCTGTTGGCTGTCATGTCTGTGGATCGCTACCTGGCCATCTGTCACCCCCTGCAGTACCCCTTGCTCATGAATGGTACTGTGTGCTTTCAGGTGGCCTTGGCCTGCTGGATGGGGGGACTCCTCCCTGTGCTTGGCCCCACAGTGGTTGTGGCCTTGCTTCCCTTCTGTGAACAGGATGCTGTGGTGCAGCACTTCTTTTGTGATAGTGGCCCACTGCTCCGCCTGGCATGCACCAACACCAAGAAGCTGGAGGAAACTGACTTTGTCCTTGCCTCTCTTGTCATTGTATCCTCACTGATGATTACTGCTGTGTCCTATAGCCACATAGTCCTGGCTGTCCTGCGCATCCCGTCTGCTTCAGGTCGTCAGAAGGCCTTCTCTACCTGTACCTCCCACTTGATGGTGGTGACTCTCTTCTATGGAAGTGCCATTTTTCTCTATGTGAGGCCATCACAGAGTGGCTCTGTGGATACTAACTGGGCGGTGACAGTGGTAACAACATTTGTGACACCACTGCTGAATCCATTCATCTATGCCTTGCGCAATGAGCAAGTCAAGGAAGCTTTGAAAGACATGTTTAGGAAAGTGGTAGCAGGCTTTTGGGGGGATCTTTTACTTGCTAAGAATTTCAGTAAGGAAACAGTGGGGTGAAAGTGAGAGAATGTAATAACTAGTCTTAAGTCCAAGTTTTCTCCATTGTCATTTTCTTTCCTATCATCATCACGGACATCATCAAATGACTGAGTTCTGGAACCACTAAAGAGCTCCAAAGTTATCAAGTCTATCTTTCTTCCCTTTCAGACAAAATTCTTTGATTCTATCTCATACATAAATCCATATTATTATTGATATGTCATAATCAATACCATCATTACATCTTAAGACCTTTCAACCTGTGAGATCTTAACCTAAGGGTCTACGGTCACCAGGGAGTCTAAGGATGGGCTCAGAAAATTTATAAACCCCAATGGTATGTAAATTTTATGTATTTGAGCCTATATGCATTTGTTTAGGAAGAGAATTCATAGCTTCAGTCCAATTCTTAGAGGGATCTATGTGCGACCTTTGCCAAAAGTTAAAAACTGGTTAAAGTTCTCAGTTCAGCCTTCCAACTGTTTATGAAAATCAAGAATTTTAAGAAAAATTTACTTATAATCATAAAAATAAAATAGATTATCTGGATACTTTTGTATACACTTTCCCCCCAAAATGCATTTACTGTTAGATGGAAAAGAGGTAAAGCAAATTTAATAAGGGATTTATTCAGTTCTCCACAGCAATCCCAGGTGCCTTTGAAAAAGCAGATCAATGAGACATTTCATGTATAATAGCATTTAATGTGTTTTTCTAATTTGAACTTTATTACAAAGATGAATTAAAGACATTTCTACTCGTTTTGTCACTGGGTTGTGTTCCTTTCATTTGTTCATCTTTTTACCTTCTTTTATCTGTTGTCTTCAATCTTCTTTTATTTTTAGTAAAATTGGGATTGGGATGAGGACCTGTAATATCAAAGAGCTAAGAATGCCAACTATTATTGTACCTATCAAGAACCAGAGTTTGTGGTAGATTTTTATCTACCTCATTCGATATTTGAAAGGGAATGGGGATTCCTACTTGTGGTGCCCTTGGAAATCTTGGACAAGTATTCATTCATTTATTCATTTATTTATTCATTTATTCAACAAAGCTCTGTTAAGCATCTTTGTTGGATACTGTAATATATTAATGCATGCTCAGATGAACGGGAAATGTTTCTCAAGCAGCTTTGATTTTAGAGAGGAAGACAGAGACAAACAATAATTCAGAGGAATGGGGATGATAAGGGGGTTTGTAAAATGACATTGGAGATCACATAAAAATTGATTTATCTTTTTTGGTATTTTCTTGTTAGAGAAGTTTTCAGAGGCTATCACTCATTGAACAAGAATTAATTCCATGTTGGAATATGTTTGTATACATAGAGACAAGGTTAAAAAAATTAAATATCAAGATATGGACAGCACATCAACCTCAAAATAGTCCTGCGAAATTGACAAACTGAACATAAAGCTTCAGTGGGCATTGGAAATAGTAATGCTTTAATCCAGTTCTATTAGTATTACACACAAACACACACTAAATATTTCTTTCCTGAAAGATTTCTGAGTGAGAACTATAGGAATGAAAAGAATGATCGGTGATTAGAGGGGGAAAAGAACTCTTCTGGAGTGATCTAGAAGTGTTGCCCAGAAAGCAGGTGAAGTGTTGCCTTCAATACTACCCAATTTCATGGAGCATAAAAACCTGAAGGCAATCCCAGACACTGGCCAAAAAGAGGAATTCATGTAACAGTTTATAGCATTTCTGGAAGGAATCATCCCCATATTTTGGCAATAAAGCATGTTAAACCATCTATTTTCCACATTATTTTATTAATTACTTATTGTGGGAAATTACTTTGGACTCAGTTTAATTGAATAAAAATTTATTGAAGACCATGTTCTGGGAAGAAAGTTGGTATTGAGAGGTACAAATACATAGTCCCGGCAATTAAGGAGCTCCCAGACCTTTGGGTGAGATATATCTCACCGTGGGTCAAAATGTAATAAGACTCTTTTATTTGTAAAATTTAAAAGTGTGTCTAACAAGATGATGTTTTACTAATAAAGCATAAGAGCAAATATTAGGTAATTGAAAGTGATTAGGAGTAGAAATATCACAATAAAAATTGTACCAGGCAGCAATCTGTGATTTTATTTTTTCAATCTTATTTTAAAATTCCTGTTCCATAAGGAATTTTTTTACTCTTCATCTTAATCTCAGCAGCACTTGGCACAACTGATCTCAGCCTCTAATTTGAAATAGTCTTTTTGTGTGGCTTCCCTGGAGCCACACTTGCCTGCTTTTCTTGCTACATTTCCAATCGCTATTTTTTTGTTTTGCAGGTGTATCTTCTTCAATAAAGCCGTTAAATACTAGCCAAGTTGTCAAGAAAATAAAGGCTATTCCAAGAGATCACAAATTAAGAGGAAGCTGAAAATAAAAATGTATTTCAAACACCTAGAACAGAGCCTGGTACATAGAAGGTGCCCAAGAATTCATTTGTTGAATGAATGAAAGACTGATGAGCAGATGATAGCCACTGCCCTGATAGATATTGCTAAACTCAAGTAACCAGCAGCTTGAATGTAGTAATCATTCTCACATTAGACCTACTCTGGTGACTATTTGAAATGGAACCTCCCACATACAGCGAGAACTCTTGGAGGGCTATTATCAGTGAAAGGAGGCTAGAAAAAATTTCCCTTGCAGAAAAGGAAGACAATTAACAAGTTTTTTCCGCACAAGACAAAAGTCTTCTTTGAGAATTCTTAATTGAAGCTCTAACTTCATACACAAAATTGTGTCATCTGGGAAACCCCAAGCTAATATATTAATATAAACATTGTCCCCAGTAGATAATACCCATAGGCAGAATGAATACAAAATACTCATTCAAGAGGGTCTCACCCTCAACAAAGATAGCACAAGACTCCCTTAGATATAGCCTTCTTGAACATAAGCTCATAATCCTTAAAATAAAAACACACACAAGGAACTTTTCAAAATTAAAAACTTTTGTGCTTCAAAGCATACTATCAAGAAAGTGAAGAAGACATGCCACAAAAAGACAGAAAATATTTGCGAACCCTAGATCTGATAAGGGACTTGTATCTAGAATATATAAGAACACCTATGTTTCAATAATACAAAGAAAATAACCCAATTAAAAAATGGGCAAAGGATCTGAATACACATTTCTCCAAAGAAGTTATACAAACGGTCAACAAGCACAAGAAGCTCAACATCATTAGTCATCAGGGAAATCAAATCAAACCACAATGAGATACCACTTCACACCCACCAGGATGGCTATAATGGAAAAGACAGACAATAACAAGTATTGATGCAGATATGAAGAAATTGGAAGCGTCATACATTGCTAGTGAGAATGCGAAATGATGCAGCCACTTGAGAAAACAATCTGGCAGTTCCTCAAAAGTTTAAACATAGAGTTACCATATACCCATTAATTCCACGCCTAGGTATATACCCAAGAGAAATGAAAACTTTAGCATCCAGACAAAATCTTGTACATGATGTTCAGAGCAGCATTATAATTCCAAAAATTGGAAACAACTCAGGGCTGGCCTGGTGGCGTGGAGGTTAAGTTTGCCCTGTCCACTTTGGCTTCCTGGGGTTCGCAGGTTCGGATCCCGGGCACGGACCTATGCCCTGATCATCAAGCCTTGCTGTGGCAGGCATCCCACATGTAAAGTAGAGGGAGGTGGGCACGGATGTTAGCCCAGGACCAATCTTCCTCAGCAAAAAGAGGAGGATTGGCCACAGATGTTAGCTCAGGGCTAATCTTCCTCACACACACACACACACACACAAAAAGTGGAAACAACTCAAATGCCCACCAAATGATGAATGGATAAATAAAATGCAGCATATCCATACAAGAGAATATTATTTGGCAATAAAGAGCAATAAAGTACTGATACATGCCACAACATGGATGCACCTTAAAAACATAAAGCTAAAGGAAAGAAGCAGTCATAAAAGATCATACATTGTATGATTCCACTTATATGAAACATCCAGAATAGGCAAATCTATATATAGAGAAAGTAGATTAGTGGTTTCCCAGGGCTGCAGGAGAGGGTTGGGAGGAAATGAGGAGTGACTTTTAATGAGGTACAGAGTTTCTTTTTTGGAGTGATAAAAATGTTCTAAAATTGATTGTGGTGATGCTGGTAGGACTATGCAAATATACTAAAACCATTTAAATGTACACTTTAAATGGGTGAATTATATCAGTAAAGCTGTTATATTACAAAACACACAGGCAATCAGAACTTTAAGAACAGGAGTCAGCAGACAAACAATAAGAAGCAGACTTAGACCTTTAAGAACGTCAGATAATATAACAATTAGATATAGACTGTAAATTAAGAATGTTAGAAATATAAGATCAATAGCATGATGAAATAAAAATAGGGATATATTTCAAACAAAACGATAAAAAGTCTAAGATGAAAAATATTATCATTGAAATTAAAGACTCTGAATATCTTGCACAGAAGTTTAGAGGGGCAAAGAGATGTTTAGTAAACTACGATAGATCTTAAGGAAATACACGAAATGCAACATAGAAAGAAAAAGACATAGGAAACATTTAAAAGAGGCTACAAGATTCTCCAATACAAGTTTCATAAGGAGAAACTAGAAAAGAGGGTAGATTAAGCGGTGACTTCATACTGTGTCGATTTGTCTAAGCTGGAACTACATTTTCCAGAATTTTGTTTTCTGTATGGATCTAAATTATCTCTATAGACATGGAGAAATTCATAGTGAGATTTGGAAGGTGAAAACGTCTCACATGGCAGCCACTGCGTCCTGAAGTTTGGCATAGGATACCAGCCTCTGTTGCAGCTTGTATTTTTGATGCTGGTCTGCTCGCTCACTTGTTGGCATGGGGCTTCAGTTGGGCTCACAACTCCTCTGGCACCCATGGATGTGCTCCTTCAGCTCCTCTAACTCCTGGGCCAAGTGCATGGGCAGTTCCACGATGAAGGGTGCCAGCTTCTCCTGCAGGTCTCCCACATCAACAAGGTTGGAGACAG